GGATTTCAAGGCATTCAGTTTGTGTCCAGTGTACCCAGATGCAATTTGGTGAGCAGACATACTGATTCACATGTATTTCTTCACGGCATGCCACGTAAACTTGCCATGCTGGGATCACAATATGCACTAATGTAGAGATGCAAGTAATGCAGCTACAGCGTGGTGGGGGAAAAAAAAAGAAAACTCTCTGTTTCAGGCCTTGATTCATTTCAAATTGTGACCAAACTCACTGAAATCCACAGCAGTATTTTTATTGTCTGTATTCCTAACCACTTGGGTTTTTTGAGTTGGAATCTTCATAAGGTGTTCAGCTCCTAAAGCTGAAGACCCCAAAAGGATATGTTTTGAAAGGTTTTACTCTTCATTAGAAGAGCATACTCAGCCCAGAAATGGTTTTGTTCGACTTCATTGAGAGCTGGCCTCTGTCTTCAGACCCTGAAGACACAGCTGATTCGGTACAAGGCTTTCTGGACAATTTTATGGGGCCATGTAGGAGGGAATCCCAAATATATCTTTAGAAAATCCCTCTTGCCAGCATTATACACTGATTTTAATACCATAGTCATTTAAGAACTAGCGTAAAGGATTTTTATAGTAATGTGACAAAGTTAAACTGTTGAAAAAAAGCCTGAGTAGGTACTGGTGAGATAGCTACAAAAAGCTCAGTCAGTATAATCTGTGGGTGGGATTTATTTTTCCTGGTTTGCCTCACCTGGTGAGGACAATTTGTATTGATACCTTACAGCAAGAACTGTGAGGAAAAAATTAAGATAGATCAAATCATGCTAGCTTTTCAGAATACTTCTACTTGAGGAAGAAGCAATCTGCACAAGAAAGGACAGAATGCAAACGGTTTTTCTCAAATGAGTGTCGTAAGAAGTAGAAGAATGTCTATTTATGAACCAGAAACTGTGGAATAATTGAAATTGAAGGTTACAGGGTCACTTGATGATAAAGATGATCATGTGTAAAGGCTTGAAGGACTTTAAGGGTTACTGGAAAGATCTTTGAATATTTATTTTCATTCAGTTATTGCTTCAAGAAAGCTATTGTTGATTCCTTAACATGCCAGTAGGTGTATTGCAGTGAGAGTCCAACATTACAAGCACTTGGCAATCTAGATTCACCCAATACCAATGTACTGAAGCAGCACTGAGAACTGTTCATGTTATTCCAGATGAGATGGTTAAATGTTTCAGGAATTTTGGAGCCCTTTGTGGTTGGAAGCATAGGGTACAGCCAAAAGGTGTTCCTGAAATCACAAATTATTCTGTAGAGTGGTTTATGTAGGTGGAAGACCTTTGACACTATGGCTCTAGAGAGTTTGACAGCTAAAAACGCAATTATCTCTAGATTCAGAAACATTGAATTTCTACTTGAAAACTAAGATGACAACAGTAATTTGAAAATTACAGAAAATAATGGTGTACAGATGTAACTATTACTGATTTGACTGTGTTGAAATTATAGCTGTGGGTTTCATACCATCCATAGAGATGCAAAATATACTCATGAATCAAAGAAAACGTGTATGCTTTATATACAGTGGCTTACATGTCGGTCAAAGAAAGAATTTCCAGGCTGCTATGCATTTGAAGGAGCATGGATACTAAAATTGCCGAGTAATCAGTGCAGCTTTGATTACAACTAAGTGGTATTTAAATGTCTTGAGCTTATCAGTAATGCTTCCTTTGAAATAAGAAGTATGTGTAATATAGCTTTATAATGCATGAATCACTGGTGTACCAGACTGTACAAATGTCATTTTACGACCCTGTATTTCCAGTCAGCTTTACGGTCAGAGCTATAGTTTAACATGTAGGTTCTATATTATGCAGGTAAAAATGTTGCATAAAATGGCTAATAAATTAAAAAGTGGAGTTTTGCGTTTTTTAAAGGTGGATATGGGTGAAAACAAGATTTGTTTCTGCTGTGAAGAATTTCATCTCACTAAATGCACAGAAGAAGAGACTGCGCTGAAGCTATACCATGTGAAGTCGTGCAGTGCTGCTCACCTTCTTCTCAAGGTACCCTGAGCACACTGCTTAACATGACTGCTTTGATAACGTCTACTCTTGTGCGACAGTGCAGTGCTGAGGTGACTTCTGTGTTTACTGTGAAAAACTCTGTAATTTTTCTGGTCTTCCACACTGATCAGAAGCTCTTCATGGTTCTGTAACAGTTTGGTTTTTTTTTTTTCTCATCTATGGGTTTTGACCAGTGCATTGCTGATACAATATGCAGTTCTTTTCCTTTCTGTGTTTTATGCAGCCAAAACTACAGCTGAATTCAGACAAGATTGCACGGGTAAATACGGTGTAAATTTTAGCTAATGATTTGATGCCTTCACTGGTGTCTTGATCTTCTCAGCCTTCCTTGGCTTACAAACTGCTAAAATACAACTTCCAAACAGCATCATCTTCAAATACGAAGGTGCTTTAATATTTCTTTAATGGTGATTATCTCACATCTGGATTTCCAACAGAAAAGTTAAGAGGAATATAATTCTTCGGATGAATAGATGGACTATAAATCACATCTGAGCGGTATTAAACCCTTCTGGATCTCTCTGTCAGGACACACAATAGGGCAAAACAAGCTTTTGCAAGTTACTCCAATCTTGGAGATTACCTGTCCTGAAGACTTTATAAAATATGTCTCTAAGAAGTAATTGTCGTGGTCATCCTTGTGTTTTCTGTGTTTGTTTTTGTTTTAGTTTTTTTATTATTACTGTTTTGACATTTACAAATACCTTGATTTAATCTTTTAATTTCCATATTCTTCATGTTCTTCAGAAAGTTCTCTTTGCTGTTTGTGCCCTGAATGCTCTCACCACCACAGTTTGCTTGGTAGCAGCCGCCCTGCGTTACTTACAGATTTTCGCAACAAGAAGATCCTGCATAGTAAGTGAGTGCAAGGCATTGCCTGCTCCAAACAGCGGTACTAACAGTATTACTAGCTTACATAGTTTAGCAATTTTTTATATCTCGGAAGGTTTTTACAGAAGTTTCATTTGATTAGGATGAATCTCAGATTGAAGACCAAGATCATGTTTCGGATCCTGATGATTTTGTCCCACCTGTGCCGCCTCCCTCCTATTTTGCAACTTTTTATTGTACTCCACGAATGAGTGGCAGGTAAACGTCTAGACTCTCTTCTTTTCTTTTAGTATCTTTGGAAACACTGCATAATCCTAATTTTTTTAAGACCGTTTTGTCTGTTATTAACTGAAAAAGGTCGGTGACTTCAGGGGGGAAAAAAAAAAAGAAGAAAAAAGCTGTTGAGTTAGGAGGCAGTGTAAATACAGTGTGGGTGAGGGGTATAACTTTGTGGTTTTCACTTTATATTCTGTAGGAACTGTTTCTGGGTAAGAGAAAAACCGCGATTGGACATGGCTGAAAACTGTTAGGATGCTGTCAGGAGCAGGTCAGGGCAGTGACGGAAAGCCAGGCGCAACCTCTTGACAAGGCTTTGCGAGAGCCCCCTGAATGGCGGCCTGGCCCCCCCGCAGACCTTTCTGCCAGAGTGATTCCCCTTCTCCCCCTTTGGCAAAGAGGGCTGACTGAAGGGTATGTTTTGATTGCCCCGCCAGGCCAGGTAGTCACTACCCTTACCTCGGTACTTGGGTGTGAGCGGTCAGGTCAGGCAGGGTTCGCACCTGGTGTTATTGCTGGGCTTCTCTGCCGTGGCAGCTGCGGGACGGGGGAGGAGTGAGAGTGGACGTGGGGGGATGAGTTCACATATCAGAAAGAAAAGGAGGATAGTCACAAGTCACTGTAGTCTCTTCTCCATACGCCCCCCCCGCCGGAACTATTTGTAAGAGAATACAATAGTTGTTGTATTCACCCAATGTTTTGAAAGAAAGCAGACCTACTTGTCACAACCTTTTAGTGTGGTGGTGTTCTGCAGACCTCCTGTTCTCGTTGTTGTCCTATGGACTCTATCCAGCTCGTCCTTTTTTTTTTTTTTTTTTTAATTCATTACTACAAAGATGAGGGAAGAACAATTCGGAGGAGGATAAAATAATAGCCGTATGAATTTTCTTGTGAGTAAGTGAAAATGTGCAGAAAATTTTTATGTTGCAGAAGGCTGCCTTCTTTAGTATAATAAGTCTTATGAAACATTAAAATGTAAATTTGGTGGGTTTTTTTGTGTGTTATTTTGAAGAAGAATAGGGCTAAAAATTGTGTAGCTTGTCCATTAAGCATCAACTCTGTTATTTTGCTGTACTGGGAATTACTAGTGTCTGTATTTCTTGCAATTCAGTGATGACTTGTGGGTTTTATTATCCTTCATTCTGCAAGTGGTTATACAGTCTTCACAGTAACTTGTGGGTTAGCTTTCTTTATTAGTTTGACTCAGCTGGGGCTGCATTATTCTGCTGTGAACACGCAATGTTTATACACAAACTATCATGATGCTCAAGCAGACCTGTATCACTCTACTCTTGTTTAAAACTCCTGCTTTTTGCAGTGTGCAGGACTGTTAAGTTTATTTCACTGTTTTGTCAGGAACAGCGTGCATGATTTTCAAGACTGCGATCCTTGCAGCGGTAATTCCAGATCCTGGGATTACCTAGAAAATGGTAACATGGCACAGGAATAGATTTTTAGAATGAAAAAGTCATCTAAAACACCAAAGACCAGGGTTCAATTCCAAACATTACTAAAAACCTCCTATGTGAGTCTTGGTTCCAGCTAGTTACGAGAACAGAACGGTGTGCGTAATGATCTCTTTGGAAGACTAGGTATTTATTGAAATATGCTTGTCACAGTTCCCCTGCTTTAAAATGAGGCTGTCATTCTTTGTCTGGCATGTCATTCTAGATGGTTATCTCCTTCCCAGCAGCAGTATTTCTCTTTGTCTATTTTCAGCACAGTAGGGGCTGCTGAACAATATTTAAGGCTTCTGCGGTCTAATACTGTGTATCTACCTTGTCTGTGACTGCCTTAAAACTTGTTGATAATAACATTTAAGTGATGGTGACATCTTTCTGAAGTCAGGCTACTTGTTTCAAGGTGCTGAGAGTAGTTACGCAGCAGTGCAGAAATTAAAGCAACAGACAGACTTAATTTCCGTTCTTGGCAGATGAGGAAATATGACTCACCCCAGGCTGGACGCAGGGTGTCCATCAGAGCGGCTGAGCTGGGACCTGGCCTTTTCTCAGTCAGCCTCCTCGCACTTCTCCCTCCCCTCCCTGCCTGGTCTGTACCCTGAACGCCATGCTGCGTCTGTGACCTGGCTTTCTGTGCTGAGCTCCCACGGACCCTGCATCCAAAACCTTTGTGTGAAAGGGGGGTGGCAGGAACTGCATTCAGGGTGGTGAGCCACAGTCTGCAGGCTGCACCTGGGGCGACTCCAAAACAGATACATCCCTCTGAGAAAGGAAACACTGTGGTGATCAAAACATGTGCCAAGGACATGTTTGGACCGGGTAGCCGTTCTCTTCCACCCTTTAAATTGCAGAGCCAGTTGCCCTACTAGCAAAGCCGGTTAATTGGTTTGTTCATTTGTTCATGGGAAAACTTTTACATTTGTCTTACTTAGTGGTAGACGAAACAAACTAGCATTACAAATGTCTGGTCAACTCCTGCCTGTAACCTTGTTATTTCATAAATAAGGAAATAGCAATTAAGTTATTTTTCAGGATTGGCACAACAAGATAACAGGTACAGCTGAGTTCCCATGCGAAGAATAAAACACAGTGTTATAAGGCGTGTGAATTTAAGGGAAGAGGCGATCCATGTGAGGCAGCAAACCAATTGCCCGGGGTCTAAAAATCTACCCCAGTCCAGTTTAAAGTACCATTTGGGGACTAGAGGCATTTGCCAAAATGCAAATCGGCTTATCCAAGTTGTGTATTCTCAAATTCAGTATGTGTCTCAAATTGGACCCATGTGCTGCTGACAGTTGTTTCTTAACCACTGAACTTGCTCCTGCTGTTGAAACGCTAAAGTTTCCGGGAGGCCAAAGCCCTGATGCTGCTGTTCAGCTGAGGTACGGTGCAGAAGGTGGGCGAGAGGTGGCCGAGGATACGCCTTCCCCCCCTTCAGTGTCCTGCTTACCAGCAGCAGTACAGAGCCTCCTCGTGCTCTGGAGCAGTCTCCTGGCAGTGGGGTTCCCTGAAAAAGCTTTGACTCCTATTCCATACCTTCCTGTATCATCACTTCAAAAAGCTGCTGGCTTTTTGGCTAACACAAGAATTCGCCTTGCTTACATAAAGAGAGTGGAAATTAAGAAATAAAGAACAGATTGACAAATGTGCACATCCTGGAAATGACTTTTATATTAAGGGACTTAAAGCAATGCTTTTCTAGTTGCATGTTCTGCAATAGGTATTAACATGATATCATTCTTGGATGCAACATTAATTTTCAAGGTGTGACTGAGCTGGGTAGGCCAGATCAGGTATGGTTAAGAGCAAAACTAAGGTTCAAGAAGTATATAATTTTATGGCCTACACTGAATGTAAGCTCAGCACGAACGTACTGGAAAAATGTGAAGAAGTAGTGTCAATGAGTATCAATCTCCATTGTACTCCAAAATTATGCTAAGGCTTTTAGGGGCAGATGAAATAGGCTGGAATTGAAAAGTATTTTAAACATGTTGTATTTCCCCCATTTTCAAGATTAAAAAAGCAATGACCAGCTATCAAAATCTTTTCTTTCTTTTCCTCAAATTTCTCCACACATTATTTCCATTACCTTGACAGGAACCTTTCACAAAAGTGCTCCCCCGTTCTCTTTTTTGGAAGTTTTATTTTTTTCTTCTGTAAGCAGCCTTCTGTAGACATTTCCATTCACTCTGCCCTTCCCTCTCAGCTTGCAAGAAAATAATTTTCACAGTCATCTTTGTTCCCTCCAGCCAGTGTCCAGAGAAGCCCTAAGCTGTGGGAGGAAGGACTTGCTCTTGTGTAACACTTCTTTGTAGAGAGATCGCATCCACTAGTGATAGCAGTAGGCCTGACTGCTATTAGTCCAGAGAGCAAAACGCGTGGGCTTCTGTGTGTTGCTGATTTGGTACTGAGCAGGAACCTCAAGCAATTTAAAATCTAATAAAAAGCAGAGAAAAATTGAGATGCTGTGTGTCACAGACTTCTCTGAAGATTGTGTGGGGAAGGTCCCCTTGAAAACTCTGCTGTTGACCACGACACTTTGTTCCAGTCTTAATGGGGTAATGTAAACTTATGTTATCAAAATTGGCATTTGCCAAAAAGTTTCTCCAGGCACTAGTCTGATTCTTCCCTCTCAGAGCTACCTCCTAAGAGGAAGATGATACAGCAAAAGGTCTTTTGGATTTCTGTTGGATTTCTGGTTTCAGAGAGCTCTTTGAAAACTGAGAAGTAAGGTTAACCATGAGGTACATCTGCCTCAAAGAAGCTTTTGTGAATTGATCAACTATAATATTCTTAGCCAAGCATCATCACAAAAATGGCCTTTAGTTTCAATTTGCCTTTTTCTGTGCAGCTGTATCTGAACATAAAACACGAGATCAGAAGTATCTTGAATTTCAGTTGTAATTAAGAATTTAGTAGTTCACAGCTAGGCTATCACATTTTCAATTACCCACCTGTATTTGAATCTCTTGAAACAAAACTGAGTCTCTGTGAAGTAAAACTGAAATGGGTTCCCAGGCGCAGTACAGCCCAAAGAGATTTGTAGCTCTGGTGAACACTTTGGAGAGGCACCTCCTAAGGAGCAATTCCTGCCATCTTCTGGGGAAATCTCTTGCAGCTGTTGGCAAGTTCATTAGCTGTGACCGAGATCCCCGAATCTGAGCTGGCACGGGAAAGCCAGTGGAGTTTGGTAGCCAATGATGTCTTTCTGCAGCTGGAAAGCTGTACTGACAGAGTCGCTCGGTGTTGTTTGTTGCAGGATGCTTGGCTCTGATGTGATTCCATTGCCCCATATTTACGGAGCGCGAATCAAAGGCGTTGAAGTGTTCTGCCCTCTGGACCCACCTCCTCCTTACGAAGCTGTGTGGAGCCAGAACAGCTCTGAGCAGGTATGGCCCACAGAGGTTTAAAGCGTAACTTGTTTTTCTGCTATAAAGGTAAGGTTGCACTGAGGCATGAGTCAGGAATCATTTCATTTCAGAATACCAGGAGAATATGTTTGGTTACAAATGCGGCTTCCTGTAAATTTTATGGAAGATTTTAATTAGTCACTTACCTTTACAGTTGAAAAGCTTTCCCCAGTTGGAAAATGGTGTCCGAGCATGGGAGAAGGAGCAAAATATGCTGTGGAGCACACCTGTTGCTGGTTATTCTAGAGGAGCCCTGTGCTGCCTCCTTGCTTTAGTTCCCTTCAGCACCGGCACTCCTCCCATGTGGGACTAGGTCAGGGTTTTGCCATGCTCACTGATCCCTTTTCACTGGTGTTTTCAGAAGATAGGTGCTTTTTACCAGAAAATACTCACAGGATAGAATTGGCTGACCTGGATGATGAACATTAGTTATAGACATTCACTAGTCTTGGTTTTGCAGTGTAATTAAACACATATCGCATAGTCACTGCTCAGTTAAGCAAAAGTGTTCACTTTCTAAGGTGGATGTTGCAGTTCTTAGAAAGTACCAGAAAAAAGATGGCGGCTTGTGATTTTTCAACTTTTCTGTTTTATTCCAGGAAGGTGCACTACAAATAAGTGTCATGGAAGTTGTTGATTCGGGGGAAGTGAGTGACAGGCAGGCCTCTCAAGGTAAAAAATACATTTTAAAATTTGTTCTAGAACAGTTCTACCCAACCCAGATGACTTAATGTAGCAGCAGCATTATTATTTCTTTGAAAGACAGCCACCATATTGCAAGCCAGAGATACAGAATTGTGATTGTTTTGGGCAGTAGGAGTATGTTAAAATACATAAAAAGTTGTTTGCTTTTAAGATACAAAAAGAAAGATATATTTCCTTCTTAGTAATCTACAAGCTAGTTCTTGACTCTATGTGCATATGTTGTAAGAAATGATGTCCAGCTCCAGTGCTTCTATTTGTTTTGTATACATGATGGTGCCAGTTGACAGCCTGTGGCTTCTCTTCTGCCAACCTACTTCTCAAGCTATAGGAAAACTTTGGTGTGAAGCTTATCAGTTGGAATTGTCCCTACTAAGTGCTGGCAGGAAAAAAAAAAATGTTTACATAAACCATACTTTAACCAAATAACAAGCCTTTCAAAGTTAGGTTACGGTCTGGCAGTCTACCTGAAACCTCTGAAAACAAGCGCTTGGATGCTTCTGATATCTCATCAGTTGTGATAACCAGAAAGAAATTCAGAAGACTTGTAGCAAAAAGTTCAATTCTCAAGGACTTCTTATTGATAAAACTGCTGTTGCTTTCTCTGGGCATGAAAATAGGATATCAAACAGAGGGCTGCATGGTGACTACTTAAAGTTATGAGAACGGAAAGCAGGAAAAGAATATTGTAGAAAATGCAACTGTTGTGAAGGAGAGTCAGGAAAATTAAAAAAAAAAAGCCATGATGAGGCATTGTTTGTATTTAAAAACTTCCTTTGCAAGCAAGCAGACCTGAGCACATGTGATAAATTTTACCCTCCTCCCCATCTTTTTAACTAGTTTCTCTGTCTTTTTTTTTTTTTTTTTTCCAAAGAGGTCTGTAAAGAGACATTTAAATCTCAGCCTGGCCATTAAATTCAGATAAAGAAGAAAGTGAGCATCTTAATGAAGAAAATTAACTCTGCTACTTCTAGAGGCCAAGGCTTCCTAGGGGCAGAGAATTTTAAGAAAAGGAAATCTGCTGAGCAATATCTTTTCCTTTATTTATATTTGGGGAGGTGTACTGGGTCTTGCTGGGGTGGAGTTATTTTCTTCATAGCAGCCCATATGGTGGTGTTTTGGATTTGTGACCAAAACTGTTCATAACACACCAATGTTTTAGCTCTTGCTAAGCAGTGCTTGCGCAGCATTGAGGGTTGCTCCATCTCTTGCCCTGCCCCTCACAGCGTGTAGGCTGGGGGTGCACAAGAAGTTGGGAGGGGACACAGCTGGGACAGCTGACCCCAACTGACCACAGGGATGTCCCATGCTGTATAATGTCATGCTCAACAATAAAGACTTGGGGGAAGTTTTCCAGGGTTGCCATTGCTCAGGGACTGGCTGGGCATCAGTCAGCTGGTGGTGAGTGATTGGTTTGCATCACTTGTTTTTCTTTAGTTTGTTTTGTTGTTCCCCCCTGTGTTCCCCCCCCCCCCCCTCCATTAAACTGTCTTTATCTCAACCCAAAAGTTCTCTCACTTTTGCCCTTCCAATTCTCCTCCCCATCCTGCTGGGGGTGTGTGTGAGTGAGCAGCTGTGTGGGGCTGAGCCACCTACTGGGGTTAAACCACAGCAGGAGGGAAATACAAAATGAGGGGATACATTGGAGTTGTGGCAGAGTAACTCCATGGGTTGTCTCAGCTGATGTGGAGTAGCAGTCTATAAATAAAAACTGAACTCTTGGTTTATGCTGGTAGTCTGTCATGCCAGGACACTTGTGTATGATGCCATGATTTCCTTGGCATCATCATGACTGATCGACTGAGTGTATCTCCTGATGGAAGTTAAAGCTATGCACTACTCTCTGCCAGCAGAACTCAGGAGTCCTGGCAGCCTGCTGCAGGAGGAGCTGTAAGCTTCTCTGTGCCAGCTAAAATGGTTTTACTGACTTCAAAAGCACTCCCATCAAGCAAAATAGGACTTTCCCTGCAGACTGTAGTAGGAAGACATGCAACCTTCTACTGATGGCTGAGGATGCTTGGCAGCTGCTCTATATCATCACATAGTTGGACTTGGTCTTAAAGGTCTTTTTCCAACCTAAATGATTCTATACTAGGTATATGCATTTCCAGTACACACCAGCTTAAGCCAGTTATCTCTGACATCTGAAACATTAATATTATGAAGAATTAGCATGTGATCATTAAATTGCTCCATTCATCTGTCTAGTATTTAAAAAAACCCCAAACTTCTCCAGAGTACCAGCAGCACTGTACCTCAAGGACTGAGTGCTAGTACAACTCCACTGGTGTTAAAATTTATGTTGGTGATGGATTCTTTAATCCTGCCTGATTATTGGTCTGCCATGCTTTGTTGCTGGGTCCTACCTCCTGACTTTCCAGGCTGGTATCTGCTTTATATAGGTTGTGTCACCGTTTCTTATCTTTAGAGATTCTAGGTTGCATTTGTGTAGGAGATAACGTGCTATGCTCAACCAGTACATATCATCCAAGCCTTAATTTTCTCGAACGCTTCAGTCACTGGTACGTTTCTGTTAGAGTAGCAGCACAAACATTTGCCATGTTCTGAATAAGAGACTGTTTACATTAATTTGGATTTTTGCTCTTGCATGAGCAATAACATTGTTTCCTGTAATATGCCAGGTGCCATGAGGTGGAGGTACAGAACCAGGCTTGGTGAGAAACACATAACTTCATCCCGTCCTGTTCACTAAAAGGCAGTTGTGGGAATCACAGCATATAATTACACCCTAAGGAAAAGGAGGAACGTTGATTAATTGGAAAAATGAAACACATCACAAGAACTCAGGAAAATCTTTGTTTTAATAAAGAACCTCATGAAACAAGATTTTTAATTCCCTTATAGAGATGAGCTACCTAATTGCAAACAGTGACTGACCTCTGTGACGATATGCTGTCATATCTTGGTACAACTGCTTATATGCAGGAGGATTTCAGGCTCTGTGAGGTTTAGTTTTCTCTCCAAGAAAGCAGTAGCTCCCTCCTCTCTGATCAGGTAGTTTAAGATGAAGTTTATACTAGGCAAAGCTGTGGGTTTTTTTGCTACTCCAGTTGTATAAGGCTGAACAGGTTTCTGCAAATGTTTAAGCAGGCTTTAGGCCGGTGTTACTGGCGAGTGTGGGGATATGCACACATATATGCGCCTCTAGGCTTTTGTGTCCAATCACTACAGCTTTGTTGGTGGCCGGGGGTGGGGCACCAAAAAAATCGGTAATAACCTCTAATAATGGCTTCTACAGATCTGCTTTATTCTGACTACTTTTCCTTCACCTTTACTGTTCTTGGTTACTCAGGTGAAGAAATTCCTGAGTCTTCCAGCAGAGTGAGCCTTTCACTTTTAAATGCAAGGCTGGTGCCGGCAGAAGGAGTGTGCAGGAGAGCCTTCAATCCCTTGCGGAAATGGTCTAAAAGTGACCCTGTGCTGCACTGCCAGTTGCTTCAAGGTGACTTGATTTTCTCTATCAGTGCTTATGTAATGAGTGAGTCCTTAAAAGAACATTTGTCAGAAGGTTAGTACCTTGAACCTAGTACCTGCATAAATCGGCTACTGTCTCCCAACAGAGTACCTACATTACAGCAAACAGTTCATGCTTTGCCAAATCTTCTCCACCCAACACCTTAGTCTTGCTGCTCTTTAGGCTTTCACATCTAGGAACAGGGTCTGTAGTAGGCATTGCTATTTTGGGGGGAGGGAGGGATGGTGGAAGCCGAGGAGGAGGGAGCACATAGGATTTCTCAGTGTACTCGTACACTGGCATCTAAAAGCTTGCAAGGGCAGTTGTCAATGTGAGCAATTTAAAGCAGAATTAGCTTGGCTATTTGGTATTAGACTGTAAATTTGCACCCCTTTTCTTGCTCCTCATAGCATCAAAAAACCTAAAAACTCAACACAAAAAACCCACGGTGGAGAAGCCGATGAAGTCTGTCGCAGCTACTTTGGTGTCAGTAATCCGATTCAGTTGCTGTGGGAAAACTGCTAGTGTGGCTGCAGAGTCCTTGATTCTGTTGACGGTCTTAAAAATCCACTAGTCGAGAGTCTTGCAGTTTTTATTAAAGGATATTGGAATCAGCATAGGAGCTGCTGGTACATATTAGCACTCACAAAATGTAAGCGGGGAGGCGACACGTTAGTAACAACCATTTATTTTGAGTATTGGGAGCATGCCTATCTGGATTACACTTACTATTTTGTGGAATGTTTTTATGTCTCTGCTACATCATGTGTTTTCTCTTTTCCTCCTATCAACTTCCACCACAGCACCCCAGAGAATCTGCTGCTGAAGCAATGGTTACATGACACAGAGCCTATTCATAGCTGTGAAAGCGGAGCGGAGCATTTCTGCTGTAGAGAGACTCCATCAGTCAGAAGCATTTGGGCACTTTAGGCTTGGTACAACTGAGGTTAGGTCTGTTCAGCACTGGATCCGAGAGTTAAATACACGAGTGCTGCAGAAAGGGAACTCAGCTGCAACAGAACAATGGAAGTTGTTTCAAGTTAGTTAGTGCTCTTCTTGCTGGAAAGATTTGGATTGCCTCCTGGTATTATTGTATTTGGCATAAAGCCAACATTAAAGTGCTTCTTGAACAACCTGTGGGTGCTCTTTTTTTTTTTTTTAAAAGGGCCAAAAATTAATTATTGTTATTTAGACCAAAGGCAGTGGAATTGATTCCCTGCTGCCCCTTGTTTAGTCCTTGCAAGGTAATTTTAAAATTTTGTTTTCCATTAAATTTCCACTTTGTAGTATTACTAGCTTCCAGCTTGACAAGCAGTTATTTTCAGATATTTTGTAACTAGCCCTCTTGACTGGTAATAACTGAAAATTACAAAAAGTTTAGGAGAGATCATAAAGGCCTTCAAGCTCTCCTTAACCTGGTTTGTATAGCTGAATGTTAACGTTAACACTCAACGCTCATTTCAGGTCTACTCAGAACAGAAGCAAAAGAGAGAAAGGAACCAATGTACACAAAATGGCAAACAGGTTTCCCAGAAATGTCCCTCGAGACCCTTTGACACGTGCTATGCACTCAACCATAGCTATGTACTACTCTATTTCACAGGCATTTTCTGTAGTGTAAATCCAATACAGAGTGAGCCTTGCGTGCCACCCTGACCATGACAGACTTCAAGTTTTACGTGATTAAACTTGTGCACTGCATCATCACTGAATCAGGATTGAAATCTCAGGGGATACTTGTTGAACAGTACAGTGAACCAAGTGGATTGTTTGCTCTGTTTGATTTTTGTCTTCAGGGGCAGTGCCCAGCTGTGAAGCTGCAACGCAGACTGAAGTAAAACCACAACTCTGCGCTGTCACCTTGCGGAAGAGTTTGAGAGCAAGAGCTTTGAGGGGAAGACCCCAATCTTTGATAGACTACAAATCTTACACAGACACTAAACAGCTTGTGGCATGGATCCTAGAGCAGTCTTGCAGCATGAGCCCTGACATACATGAATTGGTGGAAAACATCAAGTCTGTTTTAAAATCAGATGAGAAACATATGGCAGAAGCTATCACCAGTGCCACCTTCCTTGAGCAGGTAGTTTTATTGCTTGTATTTATCGGGTGATGTGGAAACCCAAGCTGGCCTTGGTTTGGGAGTGTAGGTTTATATTTGCCACTCTGCTTTGTGTGTTAAAGTTTTTGGACCCAATTAGCTTCCTTTGGTACTTCAGTTTTATTTAGAGAGTGTGTGAGAGGCTGTGCAGTTAATGATGTCTCTTGCTCTATCAACCACACAGCCAGGAAGGTTTTCAGAGGACTGAATACATGTGTATTTAAAAGCTGAAGGAAGTGGTTTTCTGTGGTAGAATCATGAACTGTAAATAACCTGATAGTGTTTTATATTGCATGGGGCAGGGGAAAGGGAAGAGATATTATAAAGCATTTACTGTTATAAACTGGAAGGAATGGAGGCTGACAAGGAAATCTTTATGTAAACCCATTAGAAGCAACTTTTCCTAAGTGGCTCCCAGGATAAAAATAAGACCTGCTACTAAAGGAAAAAAAGCAAAAAGTAGAAAACGTTTGCTTACATTAGTGGAATGAATATTCAGAAGTTTCAGACATTACAGACTTCATCAAATGTTTTGGTAGCTTACAGACCATTTGGATAGATAGGTTGATTCACACATGGTACAAGTGTTTTGCTGTGACTACTGGTTTTGGTTTGAGTGCTCATGCAAAACACAACACAGATTTTAATTTAGGCTCTGCAGATAAAATGAGATTTCCCACTACAGCCTACAGGCAACAAAAGCCTCAACAAATTTGACAGAAACAGCTGAAAAAAAAATTTCTTATGAGAATTTAATTTATCACACTGGCCTGAAGCTTATTACAGTCCAGTCGCTTCTGCAGAAGACAACATTTAGATTCCTGTTAAGCAATACTTGACATGCCATGGTTTGGGGTGAACTAATTCTTGTGCAGCTTAAAAAAAAATAAAGACAGACAACACACACTCCTTTCCCAATTGGGATTGCTTTTCCCATGCCTCCTTGACAAATAGTAGTTTTAGTCTCGGCACTACAACTACCTTCTTCCTAGTTGGGTAAAACTATTTTAATGGAACAAAAGCCTGAAAACAAATCTGATTTACTTTTTTTTTTTTCCTTTTAAAGGTGATGACACCTGCCCAGCAAGCCATGTCACTGAGTGCCCATGTGTTACCTTTCAGACAGCATCCTGGATTGCTGCACCTGGAGAGCTGTGGTGACCTGAGTACTTTCACCACAGGTGAAGATCAGCTAGTGGAGAGGAGGATCCAGAGAGCAGAGCATGAACGGCCTCACAGTCTTATTGGTGTTGTCAGGGAAACTGTACTTTGAGCTGGTTTCTCTTTATTCCTCAGTAGAGCACTTCTGTCAGACATACATGCTGCACAGGAAAATCATCTCTGACAAGTGGGTGGAAGAGTGTGTCGATACTTTTTTTTTTTTTTTTTTTTTAAATACCCTCACACTCAGACTCCTGAGGGGAAGCTCGTTCTACGAAGCCTATTGAGCAGATTGCAAGCTGGCCTTTATTGGGCTGCTCAAGTGCAACTTGTCTATTTGTGATATGGTACTGTCTTGTTGCATCTCTCTAGTCTATCACCACTTAGGACGGATTTGCTTTTCTTACTCAACTTAAATAGAGATGGCAGAATGGCTCTATGCCTTGGCTTACTGAGGTGAGGCAAAGACAGCTAATGCATGTGTGCACTTTGTATCTCATTGGAGAACAGGGCCAGTGTGAATGCCTGTGTTCATCTGGTGTGTGTTACTGTAGCTCCACTGATTATTTTTTTAAATTTTTTTTTCCCCTGGCATATCGCAATTTAATTCCTAGTAGAGGTGCTTGTTATGTACCAGCTGACATCCATGCTGGAAGCATGTACACAGCCATCTCAAAATCCTCTGCAGACGTGCAGGTGACTACCTAACATTGTTTTGGCAGTCTTAACCACTAGGCCACAGTGACCCATGAGGTGACACCCTCTGGCTAATAAACAAATGTATATGCCAGTTGGCTCAAGCTGTTGACTGCAGATAGTTCGTTAAGCTCTGTTCTGTATGTATGCTGCTAACGCGGAATACACTAAGTATTTCCAGAGGCTGGGATCAGGCACACAAATTTTATTTGCAAGGCTAGTTGTAGCCTTCTGTTTCACAGCAGGATGGC